ATTTTTTGTATATTTTTATCTCTAAATTTCCTTATTTACCAAATCTATTTAATTTATCACTACCTTTCCCGGCAACGGCGCCAAAAACTTGATCCCACTGTGAAATGTAGTTGTGTAAAATTTATATAAGTTTGACTCCGCTATGTAACGGTGTCAAAAGCTTCAAAAGCTTGATCCAAAATCTTGATGCATTATTTTATGAATAAGAAATTTAAGTAATCAATATTGGGATTTTACGCAAGTATACATATCATTATCAAGCCGAATATCGACCCCACGGGGAATGTTTAAATTTGAAAGGATAAATTTACAAAAAAATTCACATAAATCAAACGAAATTATTGTTACTAATTTCGAATGTGTAAGATGCTAACAAAACTAATTATTTAACTACTAGCAAAACTGAAATGCAGAGTTTAAACAGTAACTACTAAACTATTAAACTATGCTTATGTGATGAAAATTTCTTATGTGAAAAAATGTTTTTCTTACTACAATGAGATTTTGGTAAAATGAGATGTGATAAATGGTTTTAATATGTATTATGTCAAATAAGAGTTGTTTTAATTTTCTACCCTGATACAGTATTATAGAAAATCATTGGCTAATCCCAAGTTTAATCCCTAAATTCGTGGTTAGGCTAGCAGGATACTGGATCCCACTCCAGAGTTCCCACTTCTCTTCACATGAAGGCTAACTCTCGCTTTAGTTCTTAAACACTAAGACATAATTGGGGATTTTAGTCTGTCACCCTCCCCCAATTCTACACCCAACAATATATATTTCCCTATTTATTTGCACTTAATTCCATGAACGAAAATTCCATAAACGAAGTTCTCCCTCATGGATTCAAATGTGATCCTCACTCTGTTGTAGAACTCATACTCCATTTTCCGGATCATATGTTTCACAACATATTTTAACAATTCAATTGGTCAGATCAAAAAGTAAATTAAGTTATGAGTTGAAAAATCATCACAATTTATTTTATATTTTAATATTGACACATCCATATTATCTCTTCATTTCACCATATCTCAGAGTAGGGAAAAAAATAAAGGAAATTACTCAGACTTCATGAGAAAGATACAACAAAACACAAATTTCATATATAAAAGAAAGTTCATACAACAGTAATAAACAAACAACACTTATCTGAAACTCTTTATCAAAGCAAATCTCTTGTAGCATCTCCTAGGAAATGTAGGAAGATGAAATCTCCCACTTTTCTCCTTCTCCAACACTCTCAGAGCAGAATTCACACTTAATCTCACCACAAAAACTCTAAACTCTTAAAGAAAAATAACTAATAGACTCCTGAATGGTGGTGTCCAAAATGGTGGTGGAATGAAGATGGAAAAGCGTATGATGTGTATGAAATTGAATTGAAGCAAGAAATGATAAAAAAAGAGTTAATTTTCTGATCAATTTTGACCCCAAATTAGCCTAGAGTCGGTTTCTCCAATAGGTGCATCCAAAAACTCTTCAAAAAACGTTCAAATTCATCGAATCTTCTAGAAACAGGATCTGAACCGACATTGGCGTCGTCAGCGTCAGTGGTCCATAATTAGTTCACTGCTCTCTGTCAAACGACGTTTTAAGCGCTGCTTCTGGCGCCGTCGACGCTGGGTAAAATCTAGCATGTGTTCTGTAAGTCTGCGCCCTCGGCGCTGAGTATTTCTCCAAAAACACTATTTTGACTCCAAAATTCATTTTTTTTTTTTGCTTCAAGTCTTAAAAATCAACAACTTGCACAAAACATAAAAATACATTCCATTAAAGTCCAATATCACCAAAAATGAGTCTAAAACATGTGTCTAAAAATACATATATTTTGGTGTATCAGTGTGCAATTCGATCCTACGCAGGGATCAAACCCCCGACCCGACAGACTTACACCAAAGACCGCAATCGATGAGCCACACACACACACACACAGATATATATATATATA